GCCTTTTATATCAGTGAGTTATTTTGATGGAATGTCCGATATTTAACTTTATCGCTAATATTGGCCGATACCATGCAAATAATAATGTGCATCCCTAAAATAAACCCAACAAAGCTCAGTCAGGTCATCTGGACATTGTCTTTTTTTCTCAAGACATTTCGTCCTTCATCCAAAGGACTTCCATCAATCCGAGGAGCCACCATCATTAAGAGTAAATAAACCCCTTTTTCAAGTTTATGGTTTTTTAAAACCTAGTTGCATACTTTACTAAACAAGTCTGAGTATAAATATGTACAAATACATCAAAATTCTTGGACTTCTTGATCCATTTGCACATTTTTTGTAGGTAAACACATGTAGCTGGCAGTTGTTCACAAGTTTTGCTTTTAAATTTTTAATGTTTTAATATTACCAAAGAATATGAGGAAGAAAAACTGAGCAGATTTTGTTTCTTTATTAATGGATTTTTGTTTTTGAACCAGTCTTCATGACATTGCAACCAAAATCCATCTTTTCTGTCTTTGACTTTGAGAACGGAAAGAGAAAACCCTGAGTTCAGTGGCAAACTGCAGAGCTCAGCCTTGTTCTATTGTTTCTTTATGGCAGTAATAATGACTTGCCCTTAAAATGTCATAAAGCAATAAACTAGAGCCTATTTTATTGGAGAAGAGACAATCTTACCCTGCTGTGTGTGAGAGTCGAAGAGGCGCTCTTTACTTTTTTCAAACATATAAAGTGCTGCTCGCTGTGAGTTACGGTCCTACTTGAACCGATCATGGATTAAAGTTCAATTTGAAGTGGCAATAATTTAAATAAGGGTCAACATTTAATGGTTAATTATATATAGCTGGTATTTTTCACTGTACTGACAAGTTTTAAGAGCTGCTAATGTACTTTTTAATTATCTGCAAAGATATGAGTGCACTTTAAAAGACAAATATGCTGAGTGGGGAAAATAAATGTTTTTGTCTTTTTCAGAAAAATTATTATTTTTTTCTGAAAATGTTTCATACATTTATATAATAACTGACTTGTTTAATAAAATTGCTTATTTTACAACTTGAAAAAAAAAGACAGGTAAGAAATTTTAAGTTTTTTGCATCTTGTATTAACAGAGTAATATTTAGTTTATATACTGTGTTTATGTGTAAATAAGATGAGCTATAGAATATTTTCTACAGAAAAGTGGTTTAATTAAACAGTGTATGCGTGGTATTTTTAAAAATTTGGACTGTATTCTGTACCAGTTGATGAACTCCTGTAAATTATGTATATTACAAAAGTAAATTCTTGTACAGCATTTGAGCCGGCACTATTACTGTTTGTTATTGTTTAAAAAAAGCCTGACTTCCAAAACAAAACAAATAAACAACAGAAAATGTTCATTTAGATGATTCAAATATAATAAAACAAGTAGTTTCATTATAGCATTACTGCTTGTTTTGTCTGTATTTTCTCACAGACACATAGAATTATGGATTTTTATCTTTCCTGTGGGATTTCTCTTTACTTTGAGAGTTTACAAAAGTTCTTAAGATTGTTTTAGTTTCAACCTAATTAACTCAGTTTTCATAAACAGGACGGTTTCATCTAAATGACTTCTGAAAATTTACTTTGCGCTGTCACTCGAAGCAAAATGTGACAGCTGTTGATTCAGCCATTAGCTCATTTCTGATCTATTGTCTCAGATGATGTCACATTGATAGATCAGGAAACGTTTTAATCTGACAGGCAACTGCTGTCATTTTACTGCCAGAGTGAGGCGACAGCCGAGCACTCGTATATCCCTGTACAAATCATGAAATTGTACATTTTCTTGTTTCTATTCCTCTGCAGGCTACATAAGTGGTTTATTTTACAAGTAGGAGAGCTTAATATGTTAACAGGAACATTTGGTAGGTTGTGGTAGTATTCATATAAAAATATGCATTACAGCACAAATCAGTGCTCCGTATCTTATCACCTTTGTACAGTGAGGACAAATAAATCTGCTTTAAAACAAAAATTTGCTTCAGCAATGTCGCCTAAAAATACACAATACTGTGGATTCTGGTGTCCATTTTCTCTGCGTTGACCATTTCTGTTCTTGAAATCTTAATTTAAAGAAAGAAATCAGCGCACATCTTGGCTCCAACGCCTTTATTAGTAAAGTGCTCAGCAAAGAAGTACATTCTTACTAACATGCAATACTTAAATCAAACATCTGGCCTATGGATAGCATGAATGACGACATGGCAGCAATATTATCATAGAAAAAAGTACAGTGTGAATTCAAGTATACATAAAGAACTTCAAGTAATGCACATATATATATCTTTTCCTTTATAAACACAAAATACAGTATTTCAAGTTGAAAACCCAGAACAAAAAATAAAAGAGAATTGTGGCACATTCGTGACAGAATTTCAGCTTCAGCAAACGGTAGCAACATCTAAAGTGGGTGCAGAGTCCTTATACTAGAAAAGCACGGTTAGTCCTGCATGGTTGAGACTGTTTAATTCAGAAAACATTGATGTCTTTACATGAGCTGTTGTGGACTGCGGTCATAAAAGTAGCTTAAACTCAAAGTAATCTGAAATCTACGCTCGTTTGACAGTTCTTCTACGTTGTATTTATGTACAGAGTCAAGTTTAAAATACAAAATTAGCAGAACTGCTGTGAAGGAACAGTTTGACAATTTAGCAAATATGATTATATGTTTTGAACCTAAGTTGGAAATGTATATTTATTATTTTAGTTGCTTCTTCACATAGCTATTATGGAAATGTAAGTGTTTTTCATTTTGGAAGCCACTAACTTCTAAAAAATAATGCCCTTCCTCTTTGAGTTATCCTCAACTGCAGTTTGGATATTTATTGACATAGTAACACTGTTTCAGAAGCTCTTATAATGCTTGAAAGGATGCTATGGAGAGTGAATAAAAAAAAGACAAGTTGTGCACCACACTTTGACTAAAACTTGCGATAGAGCAAGTACAGGTAAAACCATAAACATTAAAAACAAATATAAATAATTAATTACGTTCAGTCTTTTATTCTGATGTTTTCAGGCTTTAACGATGGGGACAAATCATCTAGCAGCCTGTAAAAAAGCCATGTCTGACCCACTGGCATACACCACAGACAGAATCTGAGATGTGCTGTGGATGGTGGCACCTGAACGCCGGCAGCCAAATCTCTTGAGATGGAATGATAAGAATTTTTCAAGCGTAGCCCGTGGATGACTTGTGGATTGGAATCTGGGGTGTTTTGTCTCTTTGTTAGGTTCCCAAAGCTGTTACTGGGCAGTTTTATTTTTGCAGAGGAGAATCGACTGCCACTGAAGAATAGCTTCAATATGAGGGTGTTGCATTTGTCCTTAACACGTCTTGACTCAGAATTTGCAGTTGCAATGCAGTTTCCAATACACCAACCAAGCATACCTTGTACTAGTGCCCTAATGTCTTCGATGCTGACAAAATCGGTACTTAGATCTTTACATCCTTGATTTTGCGTCCCCATTTCATCATAAAATCAGGCGCCCATAATTGAAGGTAGGTGCATTTAGGCATGTATGTTAATTAAAACATCCTTTTGATAATTAACACATCTGCAGTTGACTATAATCATAGAAAACTCAACAACGGTAGTAAGCCAAAATCACTAATAATTAGTAGTAATCCCAATGCTAATCCAAAGCACCGCCCACGTTGGTGCTCGTCTCTGAGTTGGACCTGATCAAACAATTTTTGATTTATGGACAAAATGGAATGCCAACCAGATATGGCCTGTGAACCACCAGTTGATTGTTACTAAAGTAGATGTCAAAGGAGCATCTTCATATATGCCAGAACAAAAGGTTTACTGGCAGAAAATGGTCTATTTAAACTGTTTTTCACTTTAACAGTTGGTAGTACTTCTATTGGGGTGGATCAGAGCATCTTTATTAAAACAAAGCTCAGCAAATACATATTGTTTATAACTTTATATCAATTATACAAGTGTAAAACGACACATTTTATTTTTAGAAGTATTGTCTGTTGGATGATTTATTTCCCCGGTGGTGTGACTTCCTGTATAATCTGACACACAATACTTATTTAAAATGTGTTGTTTTCACACTAAAGCTTTATGTTTTGTAAAAAGCTTTTGAGATAAAGCAAAGAAGCTGATTGCCTCAAGTGTTTAGGTAAAGTGGAGCTACCCATCTCTGCCGCTGTTCGCTCATATTTGCACAAGCTTGGTATTGATCATCCGCATCAAGAAAACAAATAAGCTTATCTCCTAAAGTGTCAAACTGTTTCACGTTCAAACACTAATCCAAGTGGGACACCAACTCTAGTACTCGAGTGACTGTTTATACAATATTAAATTACTTGTAATCTCCATATGCATAGATGATGGTAAAACAAGATACAAAGTTTTTACGGACTTTATATACGTATAGCGCACAAGTCAGTGGCTACCTCTTTTCAGGACAGAGAAAACACAGCTCTGTTGCTCAAAAAACAGAAGCTCAAAAGAAGCAAATACACATATCTAAGATTTAAAAAAAAAAACTATAATAAACAGCTCCACTTTGTTACATCACCTGCCCAGCACCACAAATTCAGCCCCTAGTCCAGTCTGATCCTCCCCCGCTCCCTTTTCTACCAGATGTATCCTCCATCGTCTGCCTCACCTTCCTCCTCTTCCTCCTCCTCGGCTTCCTCAACGTTTTCCTCTGCTTCTTTTTCCTCTTCGTCCTCCCATCCCACTCCACTTCCGAAATCTCCAGAATATCCATCCACTTCATCTGGAAAAGGACACACACATGTTCCTGTTGACACTGTTTGGTAAGATTTGATGAGAAGATATTTGTAACCTTTTAGTTAGACGTCCAAGCCAGAAGAGGTATAGGGAAACCATGCATACAGCAGAACATGGAAGTGTTTTATTTTTTCTTTTGTTAAGTCATACTGTAACCCAAACCACAATGATCATGATTTGGTGATATCTATGGCCTGCGTGTGACTGTGCGGCACAAAAAAATACTCAGGCATGATACCTATATGGGGCGCTATCATTAAGGCGTTTGCATTTGGTCCTCTAACTTCTAAACCGGAGGTGCAAAATTTATTAGCTTATTTCTTCATAATTCCTGGTCTCTACAGAATCACGTGGTATAGGCCACGCCTATTTCTGCCCCTCCCCAAAATTTTGGGCTACAATGCAAAGTTTGAGACAATTACTTTAGATTTTTTTCACAAAGGTTTGAAGTTCATTCACCATCAAAGTCACCAACTAGGTAGCATGCTTAACACGGTCGGGTCATGGGTTGGACCCAAGATGTAGGCAGACATGGGGAAGCTCAAATGATACTGTACTGTATATACGTTTATAGTCTATACTGTATAGACTATATACAGTATATGTAGGCAATATAGTCTATACAGTATATAGTATATATGTAGTATATAGTGTATTGTATATATTTTGTGTGTGCGTGTGTGTGTGTAAACTTTGTGAGTTGGCTAACTTGTAAAATAAGCAATGACTTCCATTTTGGTGTGTGGCTACATCTAGGCATAACAAAATTTCCTTTCAAAGTTGTGTTGCTATATCAAACTCCAAGATGGCTGCCACGTATACGTATATACGTAAGCCTTGTGAGTTGAATAACATGAAAAATAAGCAACATGCCAACTTCCATTTTGATGTGCTGTATAACTGCATCTGGGTCCCTATCAAAAATTGGGTTGCCACGTCAAAATGCATTCTAGAAAAACACTCATCTCAAAAACTTAAAGCATTCACTATTCAAATCCCTCAGCGACAGGAACATCGGTGAACCACTTGTTGCTAGTGGAGGGGTCGACAATGAAAAATTCTGAACACATTTAAAATGTCAGCTTTTATTTTGAAAGCATTATCCAGTTTGAGCGCAGATGTTCCTGGAAATTATTCCAGCTGGTTAGGAACATCTGTGCTCACAATAGACTGGAGGTTTTCCACTTAAACTGGGAGACTCCACCAGTGGTCATGGAGAATGACGGGTCTGAATGTGTGTGTGTGTGCTTCAAGGTGAAAGTGGGACTGCATTATGGAACGACACTGTGCCCCTTCTCGTTTGCTCTGGTGATGAACAGACTAACAGGAATGTCTGTGGACTCCGATGTTGCAGATGATATTGTCATCTGTGGTGAAAACAGGGAACAAGTGGAAGAGAACTTAAACAGGTGGAGGTATGCACTTGAAAGAAAAGGAACGATACTCAGCTGTGGCACGAAAGAGTCAATGCGTGTGAATGAGTGAGGCAGATGGAACAGTGAGGCTACAAGGAGCATTGGACACAAAGGTGCAGGACTTCAAGTACTTAGGATCAACTGTCCAGGAAAACCAGGTGTGTGGTGAAGAAGTGACGACGAGACCAGGCAGGATAGATTGTATGAGGAAAGTTTTCAGGTGTAATTTGTGATGAAAGGGTGGCAGCAAACGTCATAAGAAAAATATACAAAAGAGACCATCTTAGCACCAACATAACTGGTTTGTTCCACTTAGGAGTAAGCTGTAGGGGGAAGAAAGCCTTCTGGATGGAAGGTGAAATGTTTCAGCACAAAAAAAAAAAAAGAAGAAGAAATTGTCCAGATGACCTGACTGAAAATTGTTGGATTGTATAGCTGGATTATTGAGCATGGACTTTGTTGGTTTTGAACCAGTTTGACATGACTGTCGATGAGGGAGAGGGCCTGTACCGGAGGAGTGAGCATGCCAAAGAGACCATCTTAACACCAACATAACTCCACTTTGGAGTAAGCTGTTGGGGGAAGAATCAATTTGGTGTTGTGTGTTTCCTTGACTGATGAAGCCTTCTGGATGGAAGGTGAAACGTTTCAGCACAAAAAAAAAAGAAACTGTCCAGATGACCTGACTGAAAAATGTTGGATACAAAAGAGTACTATGACCAGTGGAACTGACATTAAAAAAGAACTGGATGTGGCAGAGCTGAAGATGTTGAGGTTCTTCTTGGGCTTGACAAGGATGGCTAAGATTAGGAATGAGGAGTACAGCACAGGTTCAACGGCTGGGAGATAAAGTTAGAGAGGCCAGACTGAGATGGTTTGGACATGTCCAGAGAAGGGACAGTGGGTATATTGGTAGAATGATGTTAGAAATGCAGCTGCCAGAAAAAAGACAAAGAAGAAGACCAAAGAGGAGATACCGTTACATGGATGCAGTTAGAGAGGACATGGAGGCGCTGCAGTTAGTTCTTTAATTCTTATTGCCTCCCTTTCATGGCAGAAGGCAATAATATAATTGCTTGTGTCTTTGGATGTGTGTTTGTCTGTCAGCAAAGTATCTCATGTACATGTGGATGGAGTTTGCTAAAACTCTTAGAAATGAATTGTTGGATGCACATCTACAATTGCTCAAATTCTGGAGTCAGCTCAATCCAAGATTGTCGCCACAGCTAGCTGAGCTTACTAAACACAAAAATATCTATAGCTCAGTCAGTTTGACAAACATTGAGCTAAAAATTCATGTAATAGTAACTAAGAACCATCCCCAACACATACTTGGACCACTAACAGAGCACAGTAGTAGATGAGACTCAACTCCAAGACATACTTGGAGTGCTATTAAATCATGTGAGAACTTTGTTTAAAACTTTGGCATGTAATGTGGCAAGGGATATGTATTACTTTAATTACTTGATTTTAAATATAAATTTCTCACTGTAAACACACATGAAACATCTCGTCAGAAATGCTTTGTGTTGTCTCTTGAAGACCAGCCTTCAGAAAGGCCCATTGTGCTTTGATTAGTCAAAAAGGCATGAAGTGGCTTGGACTTCAGGACTTCAGGCTTGGACTGCTCACAGTTTTAGTTCATTGTTTGAAGTGATATTGACATATCCTGTTGTTCTGCAAATGTTTTATGTCTTTAAATAAAAAAAAAGGCAGGAAAACACATTCCTCTGCACTACTGGGGCTGATGTATTGTTTTATCTTTCCACAACATTTTTCAAATATAAACCAATAAAAACAAACATGAAATAACTGGCAGCGTTACTGCTTTGAATCTTGAATATAGCACACAATAATTGTTTGTTTCCTGAATGTCATCCCCCTACCACACGCGGGGTTGCCATGGATCCTAGAGCCCATCATCTCTCCGTGATGATCGACACACCAGCACTCCCCTTGGCTATGGTCACACTGCACTTTCCTGTAGTAGCCGTCCTCATCGCAGCTGGGAATGTACATGCCTGAAAAGACACACACACACACACACACACACACACACACACACACACACACACATCTTCATGACAGTTTCTTGAATATCAATACTTTCAGCTCACACGGCTGCCAAATGTTGACACATGAAATGAGTTCAGCATGTCCTACTGAGCTACCGATACAATCCCCTCATAAGGCGGCATTTTTCACCAGCATGGATTTGTTTCAGCCGTGATTTCCTGCAGTAGGTTAGCATGATGTGTTTTCTGGTGCCGTGTGTGAGTGGCATGTTAAAATGTGCATGGACAGCCTCTGTGACAGAGCTCCGTTGTTGCTGCCTCCCTCAGGACGATCTTATCAAACCTAGGGCAAAATTCTCTAACAAGCGCCGACGCTCCTCACCTCACAACAGATGGAACAAGAGAAAAGATACAAGAGGTGGGATGAGCGGGCCTCGGGGATGGAAGAACAGATCGGAGTCTTGAGCTGAAAACAAACAAAGTATACTGCGGATGCTGAAGTGTGGGGCTTCTTTTGGAGTCAAATAGCTACATAAACCTTGTTTTTACCCCTTAACCCCCAGCATGTTCAGGATCTAATCTTTGAAGTGTGATCGTGATCACTTTAATGAGCCTACTAGCAGGTTGGACACCATTCGCCTTCAGAACTGCCCTATTTTTTTGTAGCAAAGAAACAACAAGGTGAGACTTTGGTTCATATTGGCATGATAGCATAATTGCTGCAGATTTGTCAGGTGAGTCTCCTGTTCCAAATCCAAAAGGTACTTGGACTGAGATCTGGTGGCACTGGAGGCAAGAATCTCCCACACCTTAACACCACCAGCAGCCTGAAGTGTTGAAACAAGACAAGAAGGAGCCATGCTTTCAAGTCTTACACCAAATTTTGACATTACCATCTGAATGTTGCAGCTAAACTCAAGCATCATCAGCTCAGGCAATGTTTTTCCAATCTCTTGTTCTTTAATTTTAATGAGTCTTTACAAACTGTAGCTTCAATTTCCTGTTCTTAGCTGGCAGGTGTGGCACCTGGTGTGGTCTTCTCCTGCTGTAGCCCATCTGGTTTGGCATGTTGTGCATTCAGATGATATTCTACAGACCTTGGTTGGAGCAAGTGGTTATTTGAGCTCCTGTTGCCTCCTGCCAGACCAGGCTGCCAATTCTCCTCTGACATCATCAAGAGATTTTTGTCCACACTGCATGCTGGACTTTAAAAAAAAAAATTTTTTTTACATTCTCTACAAACACCAGAGATGTGTGGAAAATCCCAGTTGAGCAGCAGTTTCTGAAATGCACCAGTTCAACAACCATGCTATGTTCAAATTAATTTAAACCCCCTTTCCTCCCCATTCTGATGCTTGGCTTAACCTTAGCAACTGCACTGATTTACTGCAATGTGATTGGCTGAATTTGCAATTCAACCTGTATTTATACAGGTTAGTCTCATTGAGTCACAAGAACTCATTTTTCAAGAGAAACCTGTTTTAGACAGATAACATATAAGATACAGTGAACAATAATTCAACAAAAGCAATTTAAATCAAATAAAAGAAGTTATGAACACAGTCACAGTGCCATAAAAAACAAGGTAAAATATTAAAAAGGAACATATTTGCTTTGATATTTCTATTGATGTAATTGAATGCTTAAAATCCTTCAAAGAAATCAAAGTAGTCAGCTTCAGATCTTGTTGCAAGGTGTTCCAGGTTATGGGAGCAGAATAATAAAAGGCCTTTTTGCCAAGTTCAGTCTACACTGAGGGAACGCTGCAGGTAATAATGGCCTGAGAGTGCACGCCGTAACTGCACTGACAACATGACATGTGGGAAGAGATATAAGAAGGTAGCAGACCAAGGAGTGATTTAAATGAAAATGAACCAGTGTGAGAGCCTATGTGCAATGATGATTAGCTACAGGTGTTAACAAGGTATACCTAACAAAGTGGAAAATGAGTATCTACAGTATATATACTGTACAGTATATTATATATATATATATATATATATATATTTATATATGTTTACCTAAAAACATGCAATGAGCGTAAGCTTATGGATCATTGTGGCAAGTCTTGAAAATTATCTACGATGAGTATGCAATATGTCCAAATATCATTTTAATACATCTGGAGCCTCGCTGAATTGAACAAAAACGGCATTTACCAGGCTTCTTCTTGGCAGCCTGCTGCACCTGGATCCTCTCCAGCTCGGCGAGGCAGGGCGGCTCTGTGAGACACAAGCAAGGAAAGTGGTGACAGTCAAAAACCTTCCAACTGCTCCAGCCTCAAACTTGATCTCGATCAATGCACTTCATAATTACACTTTTTGCTCATATCGATTTGTTTAAAAAGCCTTTGGTTTCGTTCCCCAGCGCATGATTGATCGAGGGTTTAGGTGAAGGGACATATGGATGCAGGGTAAGAAGGAACAAGGAAATGAGCTAAACTTCTGGAACAGATTGAAATAGAAATAAAAATAACTATTTGCATATCAACCCTAAAGGCGACAAATCTTCTGAAGCCTTTGTTGAGCTCCTAAACAAAACCTTTCCCTGCATGTTTGAACAAAGGCCACCTAAAATAAATTGATTAGGGAGGCAGATAATCTACAGCATACACGTTAAACGCCTGATCAGCCGAGTGATCAGCACGCTAATAAAGTTACCTGCTGAGTTCTCTTTTATTCACTTATCAAAGGTCAAACTGTGCAGATGTTTCACTTGTGGCCACTGAAACGTGTCTCCATGGAAACGCTTGATTATTCTGTATAACCTCAAAACAAAATGTCAGTAGGGTTTTTCTAGATAAGAGCTCCAAACTGTTATTTTTTTCTTGTCCTAAGCAGAGGTATTTACAGTAATCTCTCGATCATGTCAGTCCAGACCCACTTTAAGAATCTAAGAAGATATTTTTGTTTTTACACTTTCTCAGCTTTGTTTCTTTGTGAACATTACAAAAGTGACTTTTGACCTCGTTTGATCAAGGAACACCTTCAACATCAATCCGTAAGCACTCCAGAAACTTCCCCAAGATGTTCCAGCAGAGAAAAAGCACATCTGAAAACTGCTTTTAACAATTGATGCTGTAAATATGAGCCATTAAAACATCTAAAAAGGGGCATGTTGTGGCACCAGCATAAACCAATTAATGACTTTTTCCATCCATCCATCCATCCATTATCTTTACCCGTTTATTCCATTTTGGGTCACGGGGGTCGCTGGTGCCCATGTCCAGCAATCACTGTGCGAGGGGCGGGGTACAGCCTGGACGGGTCGCAAGTCCATCACAGGGCCACATAGAGACAAATGAGACAAACAACCGTTCACTCTCTCACTCACACCTAGGGACAATTTAGAGTTACCAATCAGCCTAACATGCATGTTTTTGGTCTGTGGGAGGAAACCAGAGTACCCGGAGAAAACCCACGCATGCACGGAGAGAACATGCAAACTCCACCCAGAAGGCCCCTGGACCGGGGTTTGAACCAGGGACCTGTTCGCTGAGAGGCAGCAGCTCTACCAGTTGCGCCACCGTGCTGCCCATGACTTTTTCCATCTATCCATTTTTTTCCGCTTATCTGGGGTCGTGTCGCAGGGGTAGTAGCCTAAGTAGGGAGGCCCAGTATTCCCTCTCCTCATCCACTTGGGTCAATTCCTCTGCGGGAATCCCAAGGCGTTTCCAGGCCAGCCGAGAAACATATTATAGTCTCTCCAGCGTGTCCTGGGTCTTCCTCTGGGTCTCCTCCCAGTGTCCGGAACACCTCACCAGGGAGGCATCCAGGAAGCATCCTAACCAGATGCCTGAGCCACCTCAACTGGCTTCGTTCGACGTGGAGAAGCAGTGGCTCTACTCTGAGTCCCTCCCAGATAACTGAGCTTCTCACCCTATCTCTGAGAGCCCAGACACCCTGCGGGAAAAAAAACTCATTTTGGCCGTTTGTATCCTTGATCTCATTCTTTCGGTCACAACCCAAAGCTCATGACCATAGATGAGGGTAGGAATATAGGTCAACCGGTAAATTGAGAGCTTCACCTTTTACTCAGCTCTCTCTTCACCACGACAGACCGGTACAGCGCCTGCTTCACTGCAAATGCTGCACCTGTCTTCCTATCAATCTCTCACTCGATTTTTCTCTCATTCGTGAACAAGACCCCTGGATACTTAAACTCATCCACTTGGGGCAGGACCTTCTCCCTGACCTGGAGAAGGCACTCTACCCTTTTCCGGCTTAATGACCTTTTCCATAAACATAATAAAATAGATAACAGTTTTGCTGGGGGGGTCATCCAGTGATGTAGCTCCTCTGGCCAATCAACGGCTGTCATCTGCTTTTGTCAAAATCGTCACCTCGGAGCAGTCCACATGGAACCTCAACCAGAATGGTCCCTTAAACCGGGCTCATTGGGGATGGCCTGCAGTGAGCAGGCCCTTAACTAGTGCTATGTGGTGAGGAACCGATGAGAGTTGAGACAGTGGCAAAGCGCCATAAATGACTTTGTCTGTATCACCCACATAATTATAGTTTATAATTTTCACCTCTTTTATCCGACCTAACAGTAATCAAAACCTATTGCTATGGAGAGGGATAAACTTCTCTACCACTCAAGGAAAGAAGTGGATCCATTCTGTTTTTTGTAGGGGCAGCTGTGGATGAGTGGTTAGAGCAGTTGTCCTCCAATACAAGAGCTGGGGGTTCGATTCCATCAGCAGTCACATGCTGAAGTGTCCCTGGGAAAGACACTGAACCCCTCATTGCCTCTGATGTGTGTCCCATCAGAGTATGAATGTGATAAAGCTCTGGTTATTCTCTGTATAGATATAATAAAGTGCTGTATGAATGGGTAAATGAGTACAGACTGTAGTGTGAAGCGCTTTGAGTATCTTGATAAGATATAAAGTTGCTATATAAGCAGTCCATTTGCCATTTACAATTTTCTACTCATGTAACTTTTATTTGTCATAAAATTGACCATCACTCACTTTCTCTCCAGAAGCAGAGGCACCACTCCGCTGTGGAAACCTTTCCGTCCTTGTAGCTGTCACAGGAGTTGAAGAAGGGCCGGATGCAGACCTCGTACTTGTCCAGGTTAATAGCAGCCAGCTCAGCGTGGTCCAGAAAAAGATCCCCATTGGTGTCCAACTTTGAGAACATCCAGCCGATGGAGTCCTTGCAGCTGGCTACCAGACTCTTTTCCAGCACTGTCAGTGAGGACCACACACCAGTTCTTAGCACAGTCAACCAAACTATGTTTAATGGATGAAGAAATTGGTTTTTAACCTGAAGCTGCGCCCGTTCCAGGCTTGCTGGAGTTGTTCTGCTTTGCGTTCCCATGAAGCAGCTGGAACCAGTCTCTGAGGCGGTCGCCTAAATCTGCCAGGTCCTGACCGGTACAGCTCTCTAGAGGAACAAACGAGAATCCCACTACTTAAAAGTCTGGCAGATGCTTCAGAGCAACATGAGTCACATCCCCTGAAGGTGAGAAACAGACTGCTGTAAGTGATGAATGGCACCAGTTTTCTCTCACAGTTAAGCTCTTGATCTGTAGCGATGTGCTTTTGTGCTTTGGTTTATTTAAGTGTCTGATCTGCCAATCAAAGAAAAACATCAATTCACTGTTACTCCGAGGCAGCAATTTGCTGTTATCGAATAGAAATCTACTTTCAATTTCAAGCTTCACTTATTCTAGTCTACAGACAGAAAACAAAACAAACAACAACAAAAAAAAAGTGCAGCTGTTTGGTCATTTGGTATTTTCACTTGCCCCGGAGCTTAGAAAATCGATGGTGTTTGGGTGCATTGATAGACGGCATACGCTCTGAATAATTAATTACTATGTGAATGTAAGAGCAGATAATCCCATGAGGAATATTTGACCAACAGTAAACTCTAAAACTGTTGAGCATTGACCCCAGATATTAAACATGCTTTGGGTAGATTTGCTCTGTGAGAAAACGATCCCGCAAAATGAATGCTTAAAAAGTATAGCTAAAAGCGCAAGTCATCTTTCCTTTTAAAATTTTCTTATTTTGGATCTTTTGTACAATGGACTATTAGGGCCATGCTAAGAAAAAAATTACATTATGAACGAGAATAAAGTCGTATGACAATAAAGTCAGAATATTACAAGAATAAAGTCATAGTATTAAGAAAATAAAGTTGTAGTATTAAGATAATAAAGTCATACGACAAAGTCACAATATTACGAGAATAAAGTTGTAATATTATGAGAATAAAGTCGTAATAGTACAAGAATAAAATCGTAGTTTATGAGAATAAAGTCATACGACAAAGTCACAATATTATGACAATAAAGTCGTACAAGAATAAAGTTGTAATACTATGAGAATAAAGTCATAGTATTACGAGAATAAAGTCGTACGACAAAGTCACAATATTACGAGAATAATGTAATATTATGAGAATAAAGTTGTAGTATTATGAGAATAAAGTAAAAACAATATGATAATAAAGTCATAATATTACTAGAATAAACTCATAATATTATCAGAACTCCAACATGAAAATGCAGTCTTACAACTGCGGTAAAATGATGAATGTTGACGTCGGCAGTACAATAGCAGGGGGTTCAACGCACTGTTGCATATGGATTCTTATGATAAACTCAAGCCTTATGGCATTGCAATTAATGGCTGCATTAACAGATTTAGTTGTCACATAATGTGGATGGAGGCATATTTCACAAACAGTGACCTAAAAGTGGTTGCGGACTACTACATAAACACAGTGACTCACAGTGGCTGTCCACAGCAGGTGTGAGCCGACCCAGAAACATATTACAAGTTTATTCTCGTAATATTATGACTTTATTATTGTAATACTACAGCTTGATTCTCAAAATATTTCGACTTTATACTTGTACAACTTTATTCTCATAATTTCATGAATTTTTTCTCGTAATGTAAATTTTTTTTCTTAGCGTGGCCCTAATACTCTGTCGTACTTTTAAGATGAGGTTCTATAAAAAGATTATGAACAATTAATACTGGACCTGTCGGGAATAGCTCCTTGAATGACCTTGATCTGGAGAAACTGAGTTTATTTCTAAACACATCGATGAGCTAATTCCTAGTGCAAACAGTGCTAAAGCCAAATTGGATTGCTGTTGTCTTAAAGGAATATTCTAGTCACTTTTGAAATTATGTTCTGTCAAATACTTATCAGTAGTTAGTACTGTGGAGAAAAGGATTCAAGTTTTCGTCCAACCTAAGCTAATAGCTAGTCAAACAAAAGCCCATTTATGTTGTTTTTCAGGCTTAAAAAGTAACTCTCTCTCAACAAACTGCTGTGAAAGTTAGCTGCTTTAGCATAATTTTAAAAGTTACCAGATGATCCCTTTAAAAACAACTCCCATTTTTATAAATGTCATAGTGGTTGTTGTTGTAAAGCCAGTCTTAGAAACTTTTACATTTGTATCAACTTTGTATTGCACAGTTATTTACCTGAAATGTTGTGGTTATTTGTAAGTGTAATTACCGGTAGTAACATCAGAAGCTAGCTGTAGCAGTTGTGATGCAGACTTCACGTCTGAATATCTGTGTGATGCAAAACTGACAGCTGTGTAAAGGTTTATAAACTGCTATAAAAGTTTTTGAGATTGTAGTTGTTTTCAGCAATAAACAATCCTTTTGACCTTTGTCCTGCTTGAATTAGCTGTTAGCTCATCAGCCTGGTCAGAATTCAAGTCTATTTCGCAAAACTGAGGCCATTCAAAAAGCTATCTACAACAGGTAAGATATTGATGGTTCATACTAGTGAACTTCACGTCAAGAAAATTTGAACTAAACTCAGATGCATGCATCCTTCAGGTAAAGAAGGGAACTTGCCATGTTTCATGTCAGTGTTTGTAATGGGGCCGGAGGTGCAGGGGCAAAATCCAGCACACATGATCCTCAGGTCTTTGCCTGCGAGGCAAGCCTGCTGCTCCAGCTTACACTGAAAAAGAGAGAGGCACGAACACAGTTCAAATATTCATGAGGGTACGAGGCAGGAAAAAGATTGCTCATTCAGACGAGACGTTGCACTTCAAGAAAAGGCAGCAAGAATGAGCTGTCATCTTCCGCCGTCTTTTCATGCAAGGTCAAAATGAAAAAAAAAAAAAACTCCACATAAATCAATAAAGCTCTGGCTGGGGCCGGTCTACAGTGATGCCGCTGAGAACAACGTCAGTCATTAATCATAGGGCCACGCTGAGTCTTTTTTTACTTGTCCTCCTGTGAGCAGTGATGAACTGCTGCCCTGCTGCGCCCACGTATATGTCAGCGCAGCAGGAAACTGTACTTGACTGGTCTCCTCTCTCGTTATTTAAAACGATGACATGACCACTCAGTTCCTTTTTCCTCGGGTTTTTGAAACACTTCAGTGGTCAAGGAAAGGGACAAAAAATAAGGTGAAAACTAAAAAGTGTGGTAACTACAATAAGATACACAAAATTTGATTAACTACTAGAGAACGTCTCAGGAACGAATCAGGAGCAAATGAGTAGTTAATAGATAGTTAACCAGTACTTACTGGGAGACACACAGCCAAGCCTTATTAGGAGACTACTGGTTAGTTACTTGGGAAACGAAAAATAACTAATCAGGAACTAATGGGTAATTAACATGGAAACCAAAGAGGAATGAATCAGGAGCTAATGGGTAGTTAAGCAATACTTACTGGGGAACACACAGCCAAGCCTTATTAGGGGACTACTGGTTAGTTACCTTGTAAACAAAGATGAACTAATCAAGAACTAATGGGTAGTTACCAAAGAATATAAAGAGGAATGAATCAGGAGCTAATGGGTAATAAAATCAGTAATCACTAGGAAACGGGTTTTTGACAAGTATAAGCTGTGACCTCACTGGTGCAGGGTTTATTCAGAACCCACATGGGTAATTTCTCCTCTGTTTCTGTGGTGACAAACCAGTAGTCCCCGAATAAGGCTTGGCTGTGTGTTCCCCAGTAAGTACTGCTTAACTACCCATTAACTCCTGATTTGTTCCTTAGGCGATCCCTAGTAGTTAAGCAAATTTTGTGTACCTTATTGTAAAGTGTTACCAAAAGTGTGCATTTAAAGGGGAAATTTGCTGCAAGTTATAAATGTTTTTACCTCTGAGGCATAGTTGTGTCCATCAGAGCCACAAACAGGTGAAGAGGCAGCTGCAGGACAAGGCTTGCAGCTGCTTTCATGAAGCTCCGGCTGTTTGACTCTGAACATGACAGGAGAAAAGAAAGTAAGGTTTTCTAGCATTCAAGATATCTGATTCCTGTCTGTGTTGCTGTAAAGATAACCGTGTTTTAGTTTTTGGTGTTCAAATGTGGCTCAGATGAGGCATTTCTTTCCGGATCTGCTTCACACTTCACCGTGTGCAAAAACATCAATATTTAAATGCTGCTTTGAAATGTATCTGTTAGGAATCCGGTTTAATCTTTTCCCTAAATGGATGGCTATAGATAAAAAATATATATATCCCTTCAAACCTTGAAATTTCTGTGGTTCAACACATTTGTTGCATGAATTTGGTGAATATGAATGGAGTCATTTAATTTAAGGGCTGTTGCTGCTGGTGTCGTCTCATATTTGTCTCAAGAGTGCTGTATTTTTACACATTCATGGGAGCAAAGAAGCTGCCACAGTGGGTACAAAGTGAGCCAAGGTGGGTACAATATAGGCTACAACAATAGTTTACAAGTTTTACAAGCCATGCACACGAAAATATACTGAGTCTTAAAAAACTGTCCACTCTAAACAGCGTCTAAATGCTCGCTGACACGTTGTAAACACTCCAAATTCAGTGAGAATGCAACTGAAAATCTGCAAGCTCTTTCACAATTTTCCAGCAATTATGATTCACTCATCCATCTAGTCTCCAACAGTGAGACACTACCTTAAAATTGTGCAGTTCAGTCTAACGTGCATAACTTGTAGATGTCTAATCTCAGCTGTAGATGTCAAATGAACAGATGTAATGATCTTGTGAGTTTTATGTAGCCCAGTGACCTTCAGTTGAACCACAACACAGAGATACCGTACTTTTCACTGTATAAGTCGCACCTTTTTGCATAAATTAGCATGCCCTGAGAATTATACATTAAAGCGACTTATTTATGTTTTTTTTCCCCCATATTAATAATCCAAGTTTTGGCTGAGATCTGATGATTTCATTTATTCCGACACGGAAATATTGAACACTACCATTTTCAGCCACTAGAGGGCGCTCAAGTAAAATGGCAAGCCAAGTGTCTCATTAATAGGTAAAAGTGGCTATTTATGAGACACTTGGCTTGCCATACAGAGCCACTTTCACCTCACTCCGGAACTCCTGGAGCAAATGTCAAATCAGCTGCATTTTGCCGTGCCGCCCAGGTGAAATTCATTCATTCAACCTTTATTTAGACAGGTTAATCCCATTGAGCCTCAGGGGCTCATTTACAAGAGAGACCTGATTTCTTAACAAATGCAGCTGATTTGATCATTAAAGTGCATTTATTAAGAACAAGTTCAACTGAGACACACCTTTGCTATAAAGTCGAGCAAACAAATAATTGTTTTTAGGTGGTTATCTTGGTAAATTTTAAAGAAATGCACAGCAAGTCCTCCCTTTGTGTGCTCCCGCAGCCACGAATCAGCTTTTGAAATGCAGCAGTTAAACTGCATTTATTAAGGCAAACTGATACGCATCTTTTCTATAATTTCGAGCAAACAAATAACTGTTTTTAAGTGTTAATCTTGTTAAATTCTTAAAGTCCTTCCATGCACGCTCCCGCGGCCGCCATTTGGCAGCCAATCCACGACTTATTTATGTTTTTTTCCCCACTTTATTAGAAATATTTGGACGATGCGACTTATACGGCGTGCGACAAGTACTGCAGCAAGTATGGTAGATATTACAAATACTAAAGACAACATTTATTGGGGGGGGGGGGGTTTGTTTTATTTCAAAGCAACCACCAAGTGAAGTTCATTTTGAGACCACTGTTTGATTTTTGGAGTGAGAAACTAAAAATAAATACGAGCGAGAACATATTTCTGCAATATGGATGAACAGATGTAATATCCTCCATCTTGCTACGCTCAGAGTTCCACATCTTCCCTAACTGCTTTTTTATTACATCTTTTTTAAAATAGAAAAACAAATCAAGCTGCTTATTGATGTTTGGATACTTTGAACACAACTTTTTTTTTTTGCTGCGATGATTTGTTGTGGTTGCATTCCTACTTATTAGCCGCTGTTCGACGTGGCCCTCTCACCTCTGCAGTAACTCTGTAAACGAAGCACTTTAATGGGAAAAGATCAGCGCCTGTCGCAGCAGATAGACTCATCTGGTGGTAATAACTCACTCCATTAATTCGCTTCAGACGGCCGCCCTGCTCATTTGTTTTGCATTTGCAATGAAATAAAGGAGTGCAGACAAATGCTTTACGCTAATGTTTACAACAAAAATATAAAAAGGTTTTGCGAGAAAAGGAATTTAAGCACATATGCCTGTCTTTCTTTCAGCCTCCGTTACTTCTTATCACCTGCCGCCCAAAGACAAAGTTTGGACAATGTCTGCGTCAGACTGTTAGCAAAATATCCCATCGTCCACCGCAAGGAATTATAATGAAACTCTCAAAAAGTTATGGTGCAATGTAGCTGCACAACTGATTATCTTTTGAACTCAGCCCGACTCAAAATGGCTGCTATAGCCAGCTGAATTTAAAAATCACAAAGATGACTATAACTTCATTCATTTTTAAAGATATTGAGCTACACTTTGGTGTGGGAGTAGCTGAAACTGATCCCAAACAAATATTCTGAGTGCCAAACGATTGAGCAAGATCGTTGTTTAAAATCTTGCCAATAAAGATTTGGAGTCAACTCTGTTTGTCTGTTAGCAAAACGTCGTGCAAACCACTGCACAGAATTTAATGAATGTTTCAGGAAATAATCACTGAAGATACGTCTTTAAGTCTTTACCATTTGGAGTCAACCCAATTTAAAATGGCCGCCACAGCTAACTCACATCAGAGAACACAAAAGTTACTACAATTTCATGGTTTTTGCAGATATTTGACTGAAGTCTGGTGTGGGAGTAGCTGAGAGTCATTCACGACACATACTCCAACAACACGTTGCGCAAGATCTTTGCTAAGAACTTTAGCGTTAACTGCTGGAGTCAACACTGTTTGTATGTTAGCAAAATATCTTGTGAATCACTTGAGAGATTTTAATGAAACTCTCATAAAGTAATCATTGCATGGCTAACTTTTCATGTCAGTCCAGTTTAAGATATTTGCTACTAGTAATCGACACAAACTTTAAGTGTTGCATCTTTCAAGAATGTGAAAACACTTCAACGTAATGATCTTAGTGTGTTTTGCGTAAAACACGCATTCCTTCAATAAATTCTGGGCCTTTATTTGTTTTTACTTGTAATGACATGTTTATTAAAGCTGCCACAGTTATCAACTTATAATGTTTAGTAGAATACTTTTAGCACAAAGTCCAGTATACGTCTTATTAGTTTTAGTCAATACTGTGAAAAGATTTAGATTTATTTAATGTTTTTTAATATTTCTGTGTCACTGAAAGGACTGAATGTTAAGATGGTCTTATACATTCTGTGTTAAACACAATCAGAGTCACTTGTCCTCAGAGTGGATGCTGCTGCAGCGTTTGGAGCTCTGGTACTAACTCATAACTGCTGTTTTCCAAACCGTGTTCAACAATTTATTTCATTCTTGGTGTAAACACTGTTAGGTACAGTTTAAAATCCATCTCACAGACTGTGCACAATGTTAGATTAAGATTTCTTCACGCTTTGCACGAACTGGACTCGCCAGCAGTCGCACACAAAGAAGAGCTGTGCATTTTTTTAATCAAAATGATTCTTTTAATTACAATTTATTGGGATTATTATGTAAAATGTGTACAAAAAAAAAATCAGGATGGAATTTTTTTTTTTTATTCAAAAGAGTAATTTCCTTTTAGTGATGCTTTTATTCAATTTCCTGAAAAATCTGCCCACCAGAACAAAAGCATGCTTTTCATAAAGTCCACTGAATGCATTTTTTCCATTAAAAAAATAAGTCAAAATGTTAAATCGTTATAAACTTATTATTGACAAAACCAAGGCAATGTGTTTAAACATTTAAATTTTCTCCAAGCATTAAAACGCTGTCATATTTTAACCAAAGTCATATTTTATTGCGTATTAAAAATACTTTTATTCCTGAAGCCAGCACATACCGACCTCTTCAACTTTTTCCTCATTAAAAAAACCGCAGTGTTCACCGTTTACCTTTGATCCTCCCACAAACAGAAATCCTTTCACAGTGGCTTTCTGTTTGTTTATTCTAGAAGCTGATTAATTCATATTTAAGCCGATCCATAATTAGGACATTTTGCATGTGTTGTTTTTAAAATATTTCTAATACCAAAACCTATAGTCCACAGAAATACAATCTGAGTTTTCTCAGTTTTTGTCCTCAAAACTTGGTTCAGTTCATCGTTTTTTGTTTTCACCAAACCTCGTCGCTCCCGTTGAAACTCAGTTTGACACTTGAACGCGCCTGATACGAGCAGCACATGCCGAGTGTTTTCCACACGTCAATAATCCAAAGGTAGAAGCTGTTGCACATGATCTGCCCTCGCCTGCTAAAGCGTTCAGCGTACAACTTTTCTGACAGCACTGGCAGGTGATCTCAGGACAGCTCCCTTTTCTCTAAAATAAAAACATAAAACATCTAAAAAAAATATCCTTTGATTAGTAAAGTTGTGCTTCTGCCAACTCTGAAACACGTTCTGATGAATCATTACTGATTAGAGGTTAGCATGAACAGGGTGGTGCAATATCCACAGAAACGTTTGCTAGCCTGCTGACGCAAGTCCTCAGATTTTAGTTAAGTGGGCCGCCAGCTCTAAGCAACTTTAGCAAACACAGAAAATGGCTATAACTCAGCTAGTTTTACAAATACTGACAAAGTTTGCATGGTAGTAGCTGAGAGTCACCCCCAACACATTGGCAGAATGCAAACTGATTCTGCAACATGTTTTCATTTTATTTTTAATTTGCCCCTCTGGAATAAAGTCTGTGGATTTGTAAAATACGTCATGAACCAGTGGCTAGATTTTAATGAAACTTTCAGGAAGTAATAACTGGTTATACAACTGGTTAACATAATCTGGTCATTTTCAGGGATTGAATAAAATGGCTAAAATTTAGTCATTTCTTTGCATAAATTGATTTCAGTCTTAAACTGTGGCTTGAAAGGTAGTAGGTAACATTCATTACTTCATTAGTCCATTCATTAATTTAAGAAATAATGTTTCAAAACTTAATCAAAGCTCTTAAAAGACTTTAGAGAAATAATACACCACCAAACTCAGATTTGACAGGTGTCAATCAAGAACGGCCTTAAAGCTCATGGGAATGAGCCCAGAGTTCATCTAGTTATCCAATAATCTTCCTTTACTGGCCTAAGCTGCACTTAATTCAGCTTCATCTTACTTTTTTTTTAACTTTATTTATTATATATTTATAATCTTTTGTATTTATTTATTTGTTAATTGTTATGCTTCTGGGTCTGGGACCTGAGTCCAATTTTGTACCATAAACAAGAAAATGTGAGCTAGTATGACAATAAAAAAAATCCTTGAATCCTTGATCAAGTGTTTGAGTAAAAAAAAAAAGTATATATACATGCATGTATGTATATGTACACACACATACACACACACACATATATATATATATATGAACACATGAGATAATCTTTAAGATCGTTACTGAAAGGAGCATTTTTTTATTTACACAGGTAGTCTCATTGAGTCACAAGGACACAAGGACTCATTTTCAAGAGAGACCTGTTTGGGAGCAGATGGTGGGGGGGGCTAAGGGTCTTGCTCAAGGGCCCAGAGTGGGATAAATGAGGGTGGAGGCAGGTGTTGGAGTTTCACCTTTTTCACAAACAGTTTTTTATGTTGTCGGTCCGGGGAGTCGAACCGGGGACCTTTCAATCACAGGCCTACCTTCTCTAACCTCCGCGTCACCACTCCTCTTACAATCATTTCAGCTACATATCGGGGGAAATGAAAATTAGACAATAATTAGAGAGTCAGAGAGTCAGAGATTCTTTATTGTCATTCGCACCTCATGTGGTACATGTGGTGGAGCGAAAGTATGTACACAGGGTCCCAGTTACATCCAACAATAAAATGTATAAGAAAAACAGTAATAACATCTAAGATATGAACTAAGAAAAACATCAACTAAATATACACTAAGCACTCATAACATAAAACATTGAACATCAGCACAAACATGAACATGAGTCTGTGAGCGGATGTGCATGCATGAACACATCAACATTTAAACAGATCAGCAGCAACATGATGTGATTTTTCACAGTGATTATTCTAGTTAGAGATTCATGAGTCTAACAGCCTCAGGGTAGAAGCTGTTCCTCAGTCTAGTGGTTCTACACTTAATGCTCCTCAACCTCCTTTCTGAGGGGAGTGGGGCAAAAAGTGTGTGTGCTGGGTGAGTGAGTCCTTCATGATGCAGGTAGCCCTCTTCCTGCATCTGGAGGTGTAGATGTCTGTGATGGTGGGGAGGCCGACTCCGACAGTCGTTTGTGCAGCCTTCACCACTCTCTGCAGAGCTTTTCTTTCTGCAGCTGTGCAGCCTCCATGCCACACGTTGATGCTGGAGCACAGGATGCTCTCCACTGCACACCTGTAGAAGGAGGTGAGGACTGAGCTTCCCAGACCAGCTCGCCTCAGCCGCCTGAGGAAGTAGAGTCTCCGATGAGCTTTCGTGATCAGGCTGGTGGTGTTGTTGCTCCAGCTGAGGTTGTCATTCATGTGTACACCCAAGTACTTGTATCTGGAGACCACTTCCATCGCAGATCCTCTTATGTTTAGGAGGGTGTAGATGTTTTCGTTCCTTCTGAAGTCCACAATCATCGCCTTTGTCTTCTTCACATTGATGTGGAGGTTATTCTCTTTGCACCAGCTCTCCAGGTGTTCCACCTCTTGCGATAATTAATTAGATAACTTCTGTCCACACCTGGCCTGTTTAGGACCTTAATTATTGGTATTTTTATATTCTATCGGGACCCAAAAGTCCCACGTTCGATCCCCAGTCATTGCACATATCGTGGTGTCTCTGAGCAGGACACCCTATCCCTAAATGCTCCCCGGGCCCTTTCAATAGCTGCCCACTGCACCACCTGGTGGTGGATGGGTTAAATGCAGAGAGACAATTTCACCATTGTATGGGAACAAACAATGATGACAATACACAACACATTATTATTATTATTATTATTATTATTGTTATTATTATATCTTCTGTGGTTCCTTGTGTATGTTCCTTTGTATTGAAACTCTGGCACAACAATTTCCTGTGGGATCAATAAAGTTCTATCTTAGCGTATTGTATCTTAACATATTTTATCTTACCGTACTTTAGACGAACTCTGGAATCATTCCCATGACTTTTAAGGTTATTCTTGATTGTCACCTGTCAAATCCGTGTTTGACGAAACGTGGTGTATTATTTCTCTTGCCTTAAAAAAATTACACGCTGTAATAAGACCACATGGCAAGTAATTCAAGGACGACAGTTTATCCTTGTCAACAATTTAATGCTTGTATAATAAATTGCTACTTAAATAATCAAAAATTTAAAGGCAGTTTAAAGCTAAAGTTATCAGTGAAACCATAATGCTAACTTCTGGTTTCGTTGTTAAATGGTGGATATCGGTGCAGAATCTGATGTCAAACCATAGAGATGGTGGCACATACTGGCTCGCCAGCTACTTTATCTACATTGTAAGTTTTCTCAAACATAGAAAAATCTGTTTGTCAGTAATGTTCCTGTAATGACACCATGTAATCAACATTCTCCCAGACGTTGTACAGCTTTTATACCTGACAAATATTCATCACAGGAATAGACGTTTGGTTCTTTGCCCTCAGCATCTTTTCCCAAACATTAATCGAGGCACGTTGTGATTTAAGGACTGAAACCTCCTACCTCTGCTCCAGTTTCTTGCGATTGATACACGTGGCTCTCTGGTAGCCCTGAGCGACGCACACCTTATGCCGGCTGCACTTCACGTTCTGACACGGGTCCTTGGTGGTGTCGACAGCTGTAAACGCAAGGTAGAATGAGCACCGTCAACACAGAGCTGTCAATCACACCTGAGACGTTTCGCTTTACTATCTCTGTTAATGTCGTTTTGAGCTCCTGGCAGCGTTTTCTTCCTTCTGACATGGAACATGTGTTCGACAGATTGATTGCAAACCTGTACAGAAAAAAAACAAAAGAACTGCTTTTTTTGTTGTTTGCTTGTAAAATCAAGTTCTGTGCATTCGCACCAATTGAAATCAAGAGTGAAGTTCTGCCTCAAGTGGAGTTCAAGTATCTCGGGGTTTTGTTCACGAGTGAGGGAAGAATGGAGCATGAGATTGACGGACGGATTGGTGCAGTGTCTGCAGTATTGCGGACTCTGTACCGATCCATTGTGGTGAAGAGAGAGCTGAGCTGTAAGGCAAAACTCTCCGTTTACTGGTTGGTCTACGTTCCTACCCTCACCTATGGCCATGAGCTCTGGGTAGTGACCAAAAGAATGAGATCATGGATACAGGCGGTTGAAATGAGTTTCCTCCGCAGGGTAGCTGGACTCTCCCGTAGAGATAGGATGAGAAGTTCAGTTATCCAGGAGAGACTCAGAGTAGAACCGCTGCTCCTCCACATTGAAAGGAGCCAGTTGAGGTGGTTCAGGCATCTGGTAAGGATGCCCCCCTGAGCGCCTCCCTAGGGAGGTGCTTCAAGCATGTCCGACTGGGAGGAGATCCTGAAGATCCAGGACACGCTGGAGAGACTGGTTGACCTGGGAATGCCTTGGAATCCTCCCAGAAAAGCTGGAAGAGGTGGCTGTGGAAAGAGATGTCTGGACCTCTCTGCTCAAGCTGCTGCCCCCGAGACCTGACTTTGGAATAAGTGGAAGATAATGGATGAATGGATGAATGGATGAAATCATCTTCCGGTATCACAACGCTATAGTTTATACGAGCATGTGCAGTAAACATCATTACACGCGCGGCGAAAAATCATTCTGGCTGTGTGTGCAAATGAGTCAATTGTCTGAACTGCCAAAAAGAGTCGGCGGCTGTCTGTCATTAGTGAAGCAGCACATCTTCCTCAGCAGTACCAGTTGTCTCTGACTGGAAGTGAACCTGACAGCACTGATTGAGCATCTTCTCCTCTCGACTCGCCACATCTCACTTCCTCCACGTCAACCCATCACTGTCCCTCCTCATCCTGCCTCCCCTCACTCTCACAGAAACACGCACTCCATCTTTCCTTCTTTCTTTCTGTTATATTTATCCTCTCCCTCTCCTTTCTCTGCAGTCTCTCTCTCCCATCTCCTGAAAGTCGAGCCGTTCAATGCCAGCCTTTTTTCACACCAATCGACGGAGATGGAAATAGCGCCACGTCCTCCACCTTCCTCACAGCCAATGGTCAAGGCCGCTGAGAAGTGGATGTCGCACCTTTGCAGTCCCTTTGCCACCTTTCCCTCGGATAAAAAAAACTAAACATAAATTTAAGACTGAGTGGCAGGTGGAAGGTGCTGAGAGAAACTTCAGCTGTGAAATCCTGACAGCTCTGAGCAGCTGCTTTACAGTCAACATGGTTGCTGACAGCCAGGTTCTTGCACATCTAGTGACTACATGCTTTAAAGAGGAAGGTGGAAGTGCACAATGAACCTATGGTATTACAGCATTACATAGAGGAATGCACATCACCCACCACCTTTCATGTCAGGCTTTCAGTCTTAGATATTCTTCACAGAGTTGGAGATGTTTCAGTCAAATATCTCATGCAATACTTCAAGATGTCACACTCAGAGTGCCGTATTTTTCGGACTATAAGGCGCACTTAAAATCCTTTCATTTTCTCAAAAATCAACAGTGATCCTTATCATCCGGTGCACCTTATATATTAATTCTGGTTGTGCTTACTGACCTCGATCCAATTTTTTGTGGTAAACGGCGCTCAAAAATCTGTCAAAATGAACTTGTTTCGCTTAATGCACCTTATAATTCGGTGCGCCTTAGCATCCGAAAAATACGGTATGTGTTGTGAATGACTCTACTCCTACTACATCAAATTTCAGATCAATATCTATAAAACCTACAAAATTATATCCATTTTTGTCATTTTTATATCTATTTGCTGTGGTGGTTATATTGAGACTGGTTTACTTCTAATGTTAACCTGTACATCCAATGATTACTTTCTTCAGGGTTCAGTGGAATTTGATCAGTAGCTCATGAGATTTTTTGTTGACAGGCACACAAACATATGCAGACAAACATCGTCACCTTTTAGTGGGGGGCAAAAAATACTGGTTAAGTCTGAAAATGTTAAAAATGTGACGCTTTTGTGGCAACGATGTTCTTGACTACCTTTCAAACAAGAAATTAAACCTCCAGTTGGGCCATAAGACGTCTTCAGGTTGGTGTAAATTCAACAAAACACAGTTCACAGTTAAATTGGGTGAAATAATGTTTTATTTTAAGGCTTCAGGGGAGTGCTCCTTGATATAGCTCTGGCGTAACATTAGGAGTAATGAGGTCTCAAATGGGGCGGTGTTTCTAAAAACTTGGATTTGCTGAATTCTTACAAGAAGAGATTAAAAACTCTGACTGAAAGTCTAATTATGTTACACTGCCATCAGCTTTGCATGCACCAAGTCTCTCATCTAGATAGAAATGCTGAATAAAACAGTGATGCCTCTAAAACATTATCATTTTTAAATCATTAACTCGTTTGCGTGTATATGTTTTAAGCTGTTTGGCTGAATCTGTGTTTTGTCTCTGTTTGTGTAAAAGGCAGCAGAGACCAACGCATGATGTTACAATCAAAAATGTCACATTTTATCTGTAGCAAAGGACAGCTGTTAGCATTTCAGCCGGAAGCTCCGCAGTTAATCTTCAGCAACGTCTAAATAAACCCACTATAAACAGCTAACGTTGCTAAAATAAAGCCGTAGCTGAGCTCCCTCTCTTATTTATAAACTGGTATTATAGATTGGCTTTATATTTATAATACAACTTTATTGAATTGCAGGTATTTGAATTCTCCCTGAAGTGGAAGAACTATTTCAGAACAACTTTATTAATCCCTGAAAAGAAAATGTAGGTCTTATGTTCTGCCAGGAAGCTCAGAGATGGATGACTGGACTCTCTCTGTGTTATAAGACTTGTATCATCATATATATATATATATATATATATTTTTTTTTTTTTTTAAATATATGCCAACTAGACTTTTATTAACTTCTGCTCAGTCATATTTCACCTAAGCAGCTGAATAATAAACAGTAGCAGCACAAATGATCCCCATTCTGAGAGTTAGTAAATTAGTAAGTTTAACCTAAACCAGAGATTTGTAACCTTTACAACCTTCTCGCTCTGATTAAAACTCATCTAGAGCTGCAAAACAAGCCTGAAACTTTAAATCATGATAAATGCAACTCATTAAAAATACTACATTTAAAAATAATAGCTTATTTTATTGTAAAAGTTAAAATCTGCAAAGAACTGTGGACATTTATTCATAGTTTTACATGTTGCTTGGCAAATAAAGAAACTCGTGTTTATAAAATTTAAACAATGAATTGTGTAAACACTTGTGAGTCCTGCTCATTTAACTGTGTAAATTATTAACATATGTATCCCATTTACAAATAATAAAGCAGAAACATGTATTTATGTGCAACTTGCTGGATTTCTCATGATAAAGGGTGCTGTTACAACTGGTCTGTTGTAAAACGCCTAAATTTAAAGACTTGTATTATAGCAATAAGTGTGAAAACTGCACTTTCTTAACGTTTCACTGAGGAACATGCTTTAAATGTGCTAAAAGAAGTTTATATTTTCAGAGAAAAATCATTCTCTGCAGCTGGAAGTTGGAATTAAACGTGGGTTTTGATATTTTTCTCCTTGTATTGTTCGTTTCATTTTGCCACAGATGTTTTATTCATGTTTGAATCAAACTGGACCAAAACCTACTAAATCTGGCCCATTCCATTGCAGCAATTATAAATAATATTAATTTATGTGTTAGTTCTGGTCAAATCTGCAAAGAGCCACAGGTTACTGAGAAGACCCCTGCCCTGAACTATTAAGGCCAGTCAACAAAGGATTACATTTTCTCATATTGTTGGTTAATGTGTTCCTAAATGAAAAGTTTGTGAGGCCAAGGAAGCAGCCAAAGTGACTGCAATAAGGTCAACGATGGAGACGTCCATGAAGGACACAGTTTGGATGTGTTGGTATATTAATGCTCAGATTTGTTGATTAAGATGTGCAGATTAAGTGAAACGGTGAACTTAGGGTAGAAATAGGCCTGTCGTGATAAACAAGAAATCAATTAATCGCATGATAAAGAAAATTATCAACCTCATTTTCATTTATCGGCTTTATCGTTTCTTTGTGTCTCTCTTTCTACTGAAGACACTGGATGACAACAAGGATCAACTCCAGTGCTCTTCACTAACTCCTCCCTTTCTCTTTAAAATCCATTTTAACCGTCCAAAATCACGGTTTTGAGATCGTTAAAAGCAGCTAAGCTGAGAAGCTAAGCTAACAGGCTGACCTCGGGGAAAAAACCTCCGTCTTGTCAAACCTCCATAATTCACGGTTGAAACCCGTGCCTTCGTGTAAAAAGTTTTTCTCTGCAAAAAGAATCTGAGAACTTGTTTACTGATTTTTTTTATTAAACGTTTTGTGTGACAAATGCTATGCTAAAGAGCTCAAACTACACAGAGCATCTGCCATTTTGAGAACCGAAGAAAGACAGCCCATGTCACGTCAAGGGGCCTCCCTCCCATTTTTCTTAGAGACACGCTGCTCGCTCCCTCACTATCCATCCTTCAGTTCAAACAGCCATCCAGTGGTCAAAAAAAAGCTACTAGACGCAAAACAAATTAAACATGTCTTCTAAAATTTGACAATTATGACTAATTATTGTCAAATTTCAAACAATATTATCGTTTATCGCAATAATTTCTGAGACAATTAATCGCCCAGCAAAATTTGTTATCGTGACAGGCCTAGGTAGAAACTGAGCAACATTTGTGCTTAGTCATATTGCTTTATTATTCCTGCAGTGTTTTTTGACTTATAGGATCCCCTATGATACTTTAGGAAGGAGGACCTTGAAGAAACAAAAGCTGCTCAGAAAGGATGACTAGAAATGTTGCATTTATTTTTGAAACTTGTCCTGTTAATCACAAAATTAACTGTATTTATTTAAACAAACATCGTATTATTTCCTCTTTAAATAGCCAAACGGCAAACTTTTCACTTTATCTCATCCTTAATTTTAACGACACTCCACAACATTGTTCCCATAGAAACACAAGCTGGATGTTTGCAGTAAAGTGAAACTCTCCTCCAAGCAGCAGCTTCAAATTAAAAACATCCCTCATATGGTATTCTTATACCACTCCTACATGCAAAAAAGCAATTCAAGCACAGGATTAAATTTACATTGAGGTGCGTGCGTGTGTTTTCCTTCCACCTGCTCTTCTGGCTTGCTTTACAATTCATAGCCGGCTCGGGATGTGTGGGGCCCACAGCTTTTAAATCATGCCAAGAAATACAATGCAGCAGCACTGATACTGGCTCCAATCTCTCTGATTATTATCATGAAATATGGGAGGAAAACACAGAAAAAACAGCTGCTTTCCTCATCTCCTGCATCGTCTGCGCTCACATCCGAATCCTTTAATAAGCGCGGCGCCTCGGAGTGGGAAAGGATCGTCGCTGAAGCTCTTTTATCATCCTTTTGTTGTCCGTTTAATAAAACACCTGAGTGGCTCTGGACTGAAATAAATGTTGGACTGTTAAGACAGGTGGCCATTCAGACATCTAAAATAATAAGAAACTCTTCTGACTTGCTCTTGTTTTATTTTCAGAAGTTGTAAAAATTGAAGTAGTGGATGTCCTAAAATGTCCTAAAAGCACAAAAGAAATCTAATGTCTGAGCACAAAAGATGTTAGGGTCCAACATGACAGCTTCTCTGGTATTTAAGCCAGAGAAGGGTTCCTTATTGTACGAAAGCAGCGCTCAAACGCTGAGCCGAGTCTGTGCAGCTCAGGTGATGTCTCAATCAGCTCACTTGGCCAGATTGGCTGCTGGGTCCAGAGTTTGCTGCCTACTGGGAATCTCTGCAGTCTCACTAAACATGCAATGAAGAAGCCTTTGATCAGTTGAATCTGCAGAAGTAGTCCCAAAGGGGGTTATGATGAAATCAATAGTATAAAATTAACTTTATTTTTTGGTTTAATGAGTTATTCTAATTGTTTTGTGAAAAGAAGCCTCTTCTCGCATCTTCTTGGTTTAAGGTGGTTTGGGCGTGGCATTCTGCTCGACCTTCAACACTACCCTTGCAGCAGGAGCACGCGACTAATTGGCTACAATAGATGTGAACGACTCGTATACACAACTGCCCGCTGGGTGAAATGACTCATGCTTCACTTTATTGGTCTGACCTTTCAAAGTGTTTGCCCAAAGCTGCGTGTAAGGACTTTGTTGAAATAAGTAGCTTCACTGCAACTAAAAGAAAAAGGGAAATCTAAAGAAACTGACTAAATTATTTGTAACTGTTTGTTCATGAAGCAGCCGAAAGAAAATAATGAAGTCAGATATGTGAAATCAGCCACAACAATGCAGCCAAGACTAAAGATAGCCCACCCTCGTTCATGGTTTGATCAAGACATCAAATCATCATTAAATATAGAGGTCGGCTACAAAAACACACAACAGAATCCATGATGTCATAATTTATTAAATGGAAAATGAAAAGCTGTGTGTGGAAAACTAACGCTATAATTTAGCAACTTGTAGAAGAAACACATTTTAGCAGCAGTAACTTGAAATGGTCATTTCTGTTTGACTTTATCTGTCTCAGACGGTTGTGGATTAGAGCTGTCATTTCTAACCTGAGCCCGGCCCGACCCGGATTAGGGCCGGGCCATAATAATGTGCTTAATGTGCGGGCCGAGTTGGTGTCGGGCTTTTGATTGCGTCAGCGGACGCGTGCGGTTGACATTCCAAATATATGGCAACAAGGCTTGCCATACCATCACCAGCCGCACGCGACCATTTGACCGTGCGCTGACCGGCCTTGAAAGAGGTAAAAAAAAAGTTCAGTTAAGCTCCAGATGGACTACTGCCAGCGATCCGTCAGCCCAAATGGACGTTCATTCAGCCCCTGCACTCAGCAGACGCGTGCACCCGACGACCCAAACAGGTGAGATCACAAAATATCTGACATGTCAGAGCAGGGTCCATGTCTGAATAATGCAGAATGCAGGCAGAAGCAGGGATTTAATGCGCTTTGATGGCCATGAAAGGACAAACACCCCCTCAGCTCCCATCCATCTTCTGCCCTCTTTATTCAGCTGCGCACATCCGCTGACCATTAATAATATAAATGTCGGGGGGGTATTTCAGGTCCGTACCTGTAATTACTGTTAATTCGTCGGGTCGGGTGGGGTTCGGAAATGATGGCTACGAGCTGGAACCGAGTCGGGTCAGATTTTTTGGGCCCAACTCTATTGTGGAGGCATTTTGGCCCACTCTTCTTTACAACATTGCTTCAGTTCATTGAGTTTTTTCAGACATGCGTTCCTGCACAGCTATCTAAATGTTCCACCACAGCATTACAGTCAGTCTGAGGTCTGGACTGGATCATTTCATCACGTTGGTTCTTCTTGTTTTCAGCCATTCTGCTGTGAAATTTGTTGTATTTCAGATTATTGTTTTATTGTATAACCCAGTTTGGTCCAAGTTTCAGTTATCAGACAGATGGCATCACATTTAATCTTTCACCTGATAAATAAGACCTGTAGGGTCTAAAATGGAATACTTGGAATTTTGTCATTTCTCTGAGCTTTGTACGGTCTGACCTTCGGGTGAATTTGCTGGGACATCTACTCCTGGAAAGTTTAGCCACTGTCTTAAATCTTTTCCACTTATGAAGATTATTTTCTCATGGCAGAATGATAGATTCTAAATTGTTTAATAATGGCCTTACAACCCTTCCTAGATTGATGAGAAGCATCTGTTGCTTCTCTGAGGTCATTGCTGATGACTTTCCTTTTTGGCACTGGGGTAACGCACACCTGTAAGCTTCAGAGCAGAAAACTGTCCCCAAAATTGCACTTATTGACCAAATGTGGGTTTTGCACAGTTCTTTTCCATTTGGTTTTGTTTATTTATGTCCTGGTATGCAAATTGGACTTTCTTCTTCATATGGCTGTTAATCTGCTGCCAGACACAGTGATTAAAATGGTTTATTCTTATAGTTGTGTTTATCAACGGATAAGTGAGATTCTCAAGTTAACATGTTGGAGGTAAATTTTAAATAACTAGCAACTTTAAAATAAAAAAAACACAGGAGAAAAGATGTACAAGCTCCAGGCTCATTGACTGACATAAATAGTATGACCCGGCCGGACTGTGTGTTTAGTTTCAAGGGAGAGCAACTGTAGTGCAGAATAAATGACACCCTGCTTTTTATGATAGGCGAAGGAAGAGGCACATCATTGTTCAGTGCAATATTCTGCTGGAGAACCAGGAGTTCTGCTGTATCAGTTAAACCTAATACAGACATGATCAGTGTGATCAACTTGCAGGTAACATAGTGATTTTATGTAGAAAACGACTCATGACTTTTTTTGAGACAGCCTTTTAGGATAATTGTGAAACATTTAGAGACGATTGTGCTCTAAATGGCTCAATTTGAATACACATTATACTGTATGTGTATATATATATATATATATATATATATATATATATATATATATATATATATATATATATATATATATATATATATATATATATATACACATTTGAGTTCAGGCATTGTAAAACAATCATTCTCATGTCCTCTGCTCCTCCACCACAGCTGATTTTCTAAAGGTGAGAATTTTTTTTTCTTTTCTCAACAAAGAACAGACCCCTGTGAAGAAAAATGGAGCCTGGTGGGAGTTCTGACTTGAGCCCTCAGCAACAAAAGCAATTACAGGAAGACATTTCGAACTAATGGATCCAACTGAAAGCTCAACCTCGACTTTCCTGAATCACAGCTGTGTTCCCGCTCTCCACAAGCTCTGACGCCAAAGACTGGTGGTTGACCTCAACAACGATCAAAAGAAATCAGCTTTTGGATAACGTGAATTTGTCTAGAAATAAAATGTAAAAGCAAACAGCATGTGTTCTTTTTCAACTTTTGCACCATAAAAGTCCTGCATGGCTAAAGTCATTTAAACTCATTTGAGCATATTATGTTGTACCATGCAGCTAAATGCAGAGCAGAAAAGGACACTTTAAATAAAAGCACAAATTCATTATTGAACATGTACAAAAGCCTTTTTGTAAAATAATTAAAAATAAATAGCTTACTTTCATCAGAGCCAGTGTTCTCCTCTGTGTTTTTAATGTAGTCATCCTGGACAAAAAAAACCAGACAAGAAATTCACATTTTTTTTAGATTTAATAATTTATGATAAACAAAGAAAGAGGGAAAGAACAAAGGAGGAAACTCAGATCAGTGTAAACATTAACAGGAAATCAAATTAATAAGAAAAATGAAGAGGTGATTGCAAATCTAAATGACAGACAAAGCTGTCAGGGTTAAACTGGAGTGCATTTTTGTAATTGTGTTAAAACTGATCCAGCACAATTGTTCTCCTGTTTAGTTTCTTTTATATGTTGTTGGACACTAAATATTTCATGCTTTCAGCAATTCCAGTCATTCAGGTAACAAAATATTCTGCTCATTCAGAACATTACGGCTCTGATTTTTGGTAGTTGTGACTTCATTTTTGCTGTCAGCTAAAGTTTTGCTGGTCTTAGAAGATAAAAATAGAACAAGTATGAAAGTTTTGGAAGGAGTTGCAGAGGTATGCACTTGAAAGAAGAGGAATAAAATTAAGCCGTAGGAAGACAGAGAACATGAGTGTAAATGGGAGGGAAGCGATTTGAACAGCGAGGCTAAAGGTGCAGGACTTCAAGTACTTGGGGTCCACTGTCCAGGGAAATGAGAAGTTTAGTAAAAAGGTGGAGATTTCAAGCAAGATGGAGTGGATGGAGAAAAGTTTCAGGAGTGGTTTGTGACAAAACGGTGGAAACAAAGGTTGAAGGAAAAGTTTACAAGAGAGTAGTGAGAGCAGCTGTGTTGTATGGTCTGGAGACAGTGGCATTGACAAAAAGGCAGGAGAAAGAACTGGAAGTAGCAGAAATGAAGATGTTCTCCTTAGGAAAAAGATTTGTAGGCTCAATCATCCAGGTAGAGAAGAGTGACAAGGATGGATAAGATTGGGAATGAGGTCATCGGAGGTACAGCACAGGTTGAACAACTGGAAAATAAAGTTAGAGAGGCCAGACTGAGATGGTTTGGACATTTCCAGAGGAGGGACAGTGGGTACCGTATTTTCCGCTGTAAACGTTGCTCCGCCCTATAAGTTGCATCAGTCCAAATGTGTCCGACAAAGTGGAAAAATGCATCAATACGTCGCTTTGCCGTATACGTCGCATCTATTATGAGTCATCGCTGACAACCCAGAAATGTGGGCGTGTGTTGTGCCAAAAATCAACTGGCTGCCAAATGGCGGCTGCTGGGGCGTGCACGGGAGGACTTAAACAAGATTAACACTTAAAACAATTATTTGTTTGCTTGAATTTATAGTAAAGGTGTGTCTCAGTCTAACATTTGCTTAATAAATGCACTTTGGCGGTCAAATCAGCTGCGTTTCAAAAGCCGATATGCGGATGTAAGCGCATGCGCGGGACGAGTCGCTGTGCAAATTTAACAAGATAACCACCTAAAAACAATTATTTGTTTGCTAGAAATTATAGTAAAGGTGTGTCTCAGTCTAATGTTTGCTTAATAAAATAACTTTAACGATAAAATCAGCTGTATTTCAAAAGTATTCGCTGTCTCGGTGCTCCTGGGAGTGCGCAGACAGGGAGGAAATCAGGAAGGAGGAACGCTGTGTGTTTCTTCAAAATTTAACAAGATAAGCACCTAAAACAATTATTTGTTTGCTTGATATTATATCAAAGGTGTGTCTCAGTTGAACTTTTACTTAATAAATTCACTTTAATGGTCAAATTAGCTTCATTTCACCGGGGAGGTGCAGCAAAATGAAGCTGATGACGGTTGCTCCAAGCAGCAAGCAGAAGGTGGAAATATATGGCAAGCCGGTTGCGTCATTAATAGCTGGTGAAGATTCTCAGTCATCCAGGACATGGTAAATTCAAACAAGTTCAAGACAAAACAATCAAGTATAATAAATAAAGTCCAATTGTTTTTGTCTTGAATTTTTTGAATTTTTTGAATTTGTCATTATAGCCACTTTTACCTATTACATGATACAACGACATGCCTTACACCTCTGGTGCCATCTAGCGGCTGAAAAATAGTAGTGTTCAAAATTTTCAGTCAGAATGAATGAAAACGGTCATATCTCAGCCAAAAATGTTTTTATAAATATGGGAAAAAATCTATAAATATGTCGCTTTGACCTATAAGTCGCAGGGCATGCAAATTATGCAAAAAAAACACGACTTGTACAGTGAAAAATATGGTATATTGGTGGAAGGATGTTTGAAATGCAGCTGCCAGGAAAGAGACAAAGAGGAGATACAGTATGCAGAAGTAGTTTTTCATAATAATAATGATAATAATAATAAAAGAAAACAAAACCTAACACTTGTTTGGTCTTTTTTATTTTATAATTTTAATTTTCTGGCCTAGTTTTAGAATAAAAATCCAACAGATCTTTTACATTTACAAATAGATCTAAAGCACCGTTTTATGATCTAACATACAAGAGTAAGCTGCTTCTCCTTTTAGGAATTGTTGTGGAGGTGACTTTGGATTACTGGGTCCCTTGACTCAAACTAAAATTATTCTCCCTTGTGGCTGTGAGCGCAGACGTCTGCAGATGTGACAGATTTGTAGCTCCTTTGTGGTCTTTTTGTACTTGCATGCGTTGCAGAATTTTCCATACTAACCAACATAGATTGTAAACATAATAATAAATTTGTGCTGTTCTGTGACAATTGTGCAAGCAAATGAGATCCTGTAAATATGTGGAAAAGGACTTTAAAATGTGCGTTTTCCAAACTCGGTGTTATAGTGAGGCTTCTAACATAATGTAATCAGTACACGTCAAGACTTTTTACTTTCATTCCAGAGATCCTCCCTAGTGACGTTGTGCTGAAATGATATTCTTTCTATCCCTCTTGTCGTATCCACTCTGACCTGTTCCTTTCCATGTCAGGACACAGAGGATCAACGGTACAGAGGGTTACTGCTTGGCACGAGGCCTATAGAGGACCCCAAGGATCAGTCTGGATCAGTTTAACTCAGACTTATATTCTAGTGAGGGAATAGGAAGACTGAGCTTTCAAGTCAAGCTAAAGTGTAGCATAAATACTGTGTACACTTCTACCATAAAAATACATTCCTATTTGTGGTTTTAATGTTCAATTTTTTAATCTTTGAAGACTTTTTGTCTGCACTGCTGCAGAAAATAATGCTGAATTATACTGATTGGGGTGTGTGTGTTCTGGTATTCCTCACATTATGGGAACACATTATGGGAACATGAAGCTATTTACAGTCATGACATGTGGACCAGTTTCCTTATAGGGACCAAAAATTAAGTCGCCCTAACGAAAACAGTTTCAAATCAATATCTGTGTCATTTTGAAGGTGCTTGTAAGGTTTTCAGCATTGGCCCACATTTAGTTTTTGTGTGGGTGCATTAAAGACAACTATCACCTAATCACCATGTGCAATCAGCTTAAAAAGAAGTGACTGTGCAAAAACAGTCTAAATGACAGGAGACACTTACCTCGACTTCCTGTGGCAGAGACCAGCAGCATTAAGGGGAAAAAGAAAAACATTATAAACTTGAAAAATCAGAAGCTTTGTTGCTGTTCAGCATGCAAATACTGTGTTAATGCAGTTATGGCGTCAGGCTGTCAGCCCTTAATGCACACTGACTGCAAAGCCTCACTGCCTCTCCAGGGATAGCATCAGACATTTACAGAAGATTAAGAGCACCTATTAACTGAGTATGATCAGCTGCCACTTCGATAAGCTGGCAGGAGTCCCTATCACTAAAGACTCATTGTCTTGTGTTTACGTCAGAAGACAACAGCCTCCTGCCAGTTTAAAGTTGTGGATAAGCCGTGACAGCCTTGAAACAAAACAGGGAAAGTCACTGGGAATCGTTGAATCTAGAGGTTTCTCTAAAGCTGCATCACACACCCAGTATTCACTAAATAGGGCAGTGACGACACACAGTTATAGCTTCTGTAAAGAACAACCTTGAGTTAACATGAAAGTGACTGCTTTCCTTTCATTCCATTTCACCACCTTGGCTTTGGTCCAAGGGCATCATGCATCAATACCCACCTCAGGCTCTCCCTGTGTGTTTTATCTTTTAGTGCTCCGGTGTGTTTGACAGAAATATAGCGCTGTTTAGCTGTTTTTTTTAATTCCAGAAACACTACTCTGTAAATACATCTGTGTGCTTTTATATTTACACACTACAACAGCCTTACATGCTTGTTTAACGGTGCTGTGACAGTGTCTTCTTGGACAATTTACAAGCCTCGCAAGGACAAGCCAAAAAGCCTCAGGATGGCTTTAAATACTGAAGCTAAAATTGACAAGAAAACCACAGCAGAACTTTGAATTTCACATCAGGGAACGTATCCATCCATTGATCCATATTATTTATAAACTTCATACTTTTAGCTGGTGCCCATGTCCAACAAGCACTGTGCAAGAGGTGGGGTACATCCTTGACAGGTTGCAAGTCCTTCACATGGACACATAAGCCACTTCTCTGCTAGAGCAGTTTTAATAAGTTTGCAATGACTCAACATTGACCTATTGCATCTCCATTACCTGTTCCTGATCGGTTTTTGGACCCGCTTTAGCTGTGGTTCCAAGCGAGCTGAGCCGAGCAATCGATTTTGACGTCAGCAAACTGGAGCCATTGATTGGCTTTTGGATTCATGTCACTGGATGAGCCAAGGTTGTACTTGCAAAGTCCTCCTAAAGAACCATTTTCAGTCCAATCGTTGCAAAGCGTACTTCCCCTAGATAGACATGGTGATCTACAAATCTCATGTAATCATGTGGATCAATGATGAGGTGCGAACCCTTTTATCCATTTTGACTGATGAGCACATACAGCGTGAGCTTAACAGAGTTATGAGGAATAAGTCTGTCACGATAAACAATAAATCAATTAATCGCGTGATGAATAAAAATCATTGATCTCATTTTCATTTACCGGCTTTATCGTTTCTTCGTGTCTCTCTCTTTCTACTGAAGACACGGCTCAACTCTAGTGCTCTTCAGTGACCCCTCTCTTTCTCTTTTCTCTTTAAAATCTGTTTTAACCGTCCAAAATCACGTTTTAGGATTGTTAAAAGCAGCTAAGCTGAGAAGCTAAGCTACGAGCTAAGCTAACAGGCCGACCTCGGGAATAAACCTCTGTCTTGTCGATGCTCCAAAATTCATGGTTGAAACCCGTGCCTTTGTGTAAAAAGTTGTTTTTCTCTGCAAAAAGAAACTGAGAACTTGTTTACTGATTTTTTATTAAAAACTTTGTGTGGAAAAATGCTATGCTAAAAAGCTCAAATCACCGAGCTTCCACCATGTCACCATGTCAGTCCATCAGAGAGTCAGAGTCAGAGTTTCTTTATTGTCATTCGCACCTCATGTGGTACATGTGGTGGAGCGAAATTATGTACACAGGGTCCCAGTTACATCCAACAATAAAATGTATAAGAAAAACAGTAATAACATCTAAGATATGAACTAAGAAAAACATCAACTAAATATACACCAAGCACTCATAACACAAAACATTGAACATCAGCACAAACATGAACATGAGTCTGTGAGCAGATGTGCACGCATGAACACATCAACATTAAAACAGATCAGCAGCAACATGAAACAGATCAGCAGCAACATGATATGGTTTTTCACAGTGATTATTCTAGTTAGAGATTCATGAGTCTAACAGCCTCAGGGTAGAAGCTGTTCCTCAGTCTAGTGGTTCTACACTTAATGCTCCTCAACCTCCTTCCTGAGGGGAGTGGGGCAAAAAGTGTGTGTGCTGGGTGAGTGGGGTCCTTCATGATGCAGGTGGCCCTCTTCCTGCATCTAGAGGTGTAGATGTCTGTGATGGTAGGGAGGCTGATTCCAACAGATTTCTGTGCAGCCTTCACCACTCTCTGCAAAGCTTTTCTTTCTGCAGCTGTGCAGCCTCCATGCCACACAGTCCATGTCATGTCAAGGGCCCTCCCTCCCATTTTTCTTAGAGACATGCTGCTCAACTAACCCTACTTCGGTTCAAACAGTCTTATACTGCCATCAGGTGGTCAAAAATTATACTACACCCCAAACAAATGAACATTTATTGTAAAATTTGACAATATTATCGTTTATCGCAATAATTTGTGAGACAATTAATCGCCCAGCAAAATTTGTTATCGTGACAGGCCTAATGAGGAATGAGCGAGTGTACTGAGAGTTATATGAAAAACTGGCCACCCACAACTATACTTAAACATATGAACCACCCACAATCCCACTCACGCACTCCCAGTGGAGACACACCTACTACTGAGTAGAACCAAATAGAAATGAAGCAATTAAAGTGGTATTTAACAATGGAAAAGCAGTTATAAAGACAAGCAATCACTTTCGCCCACACCAATTTAGAGGTACCAATTCAGTTACCAGAAAGGTCCCAGGCCAGGATTCAGGATTGTTTGAGATAAATATTTTCAAGTCAGTTTATTTATATAGCACCACTTCATAACAAAAAACGATAAGTAAAAGTCCAAATCCTAAATCCATTTCTAATAGATACTTATAATATATTTATTAAAAAAAATAATAATAATCCTGGTTCTCAATAAAAAAGTGAGAATATTTGTGTACTGTATTAAACAATCCAACACAGTAAATCAATACAATATAATGCAATACAAATAAAACTACATAATGCAGTAAAATATGATATAATGTGATGTGTGATATGATGCTATGATGGTTTCAAGGTTTTAGATACCAAAGGAAGGAACTGAGAAAGAGCAGAACATGAGATCAGGAAACAAAGGTAAGTGTAGTTTATTTACTGTGATGCTGGGAGATATGTACAGGGGAACTGGTAAGATCTGGAAGGGAAGAGTCACAGTTATCTTACAGTAATCTCCAAGTAGGTCCATGAAGAGAGGAAAGGAGTTCTGTTCGATTTTCTATTTAAATATATGCAAGTACATGTAAAAAAAAAAATGTTTTATTGCCCATACAGCAGTAAAAAATATAAGCTGTTTTTTGCAGTGAGTCATATAGGGTGAAGAAGAAACTTTTAATACGACATGTCAAACACCCCCACTCAGATTTAAATCCACTTTTCTCTGTCAGATCTGCATCTTTACATGGCATTTAAAGATCACAGCTAAAATGCTGAACTTTCAAGCTGACATTACAGTGTAAAAAGGCAAGTTATCCCCTCAGTTAGAAAGTCTGTCGCATTACAAAACCTGCATTAATCATCAAAGATTGTCCATTCATGTCTTGACTCAGATTTAATTATTTGCAGGGGTTCTGCAATTCCCTCCATTACACTGGTGCCAGGACTAATGGGAGCCCCGACAGCCCGTCCGAATGGCCGGACAGCTTATCTTCCCCCAGCAGCAGTGTGACAGCAAGGACACCAGGCTGAGGCTGCCTTTAGTCCTTCACCAAGGTTGAGAGCTAATGCTGTCCCATTGAATCTCAGCCAGGCTGCTGCTAGAGTTCACAGCAAGCTGCGACAACAGGGAGGGAAGGAGGAGCAAGATCAGGGAGCACGGAGGTATGGTTTTCATGCTGGAGGTCTCCTGTGTTGGGTAATTCATATCATACTCACACAGACACACACAGAGACACACATCACCTCGTCTGCCATTTGTCAACAAGGCTGTAATGCAGCAGGTGTAAAACAGAGCCAGGAGCCTAATGGAGCTTGACTATCCAGATGCTGTGACTGCTCCTCCTGGACTGCTCCCTGGTATTAGGCTGACAACGTTTGGCCGCAAGCCTGACTGCACTCCTCTGAGTTAACGTCTACCTCACCTTGCCTGAGCCTCTTCTGTCGGAGACATAAATACCACTAAAAGCCCTGAACCTGCCAAGCTCAGCCTCAGCCACTGCAACACAGAAAAGTAAAACAAAAAAAGACATTCTAGTCCTGAGCACAGACGGGGCTCAATGTTTATGCACAATGGATTCCAACTCAGCATGATGGCAGCAGGGTTGCTCCTAAACCATTTAACAGCATGTCTGTCTCATTGAAAGATATGCAGTTCAATACTGTTTGTAAAGGGATTTGGTTGGTAATGCTTCAATGCTCAATATGATGAATGGATCAGCTCCTAAAAGAAACATTGAAAATATTTAAATTGAGGAACGTAAAGCCTTGAGGCCAGTGGGGCATTTTTTTTGCCAAAAAACTACATTTGTTTAAACAATATACCAATTTAAACTGTTTAACATAAGGAATGGGCCAAAGGTTGTCATTAAAAAGTACCAAATACAGCATAATATCATTATTACCAGTATATTAAAGACTAAAATGGTATGCCAGTCTGATGCTGCCCTCCAGCTCATTTTAAACTGCTGCACAATTAGAAATAACTAGCTTCTCAATTAAAAATATAATTTACTGGCATCCAAGTGATTTTTAACTCTGTTTTTATATCTCCCACATAATAGAAACACAAAATGATTTCAGGCATGACAAAAGAATTATATATAAAAAGAAGCGTTATTCTACGACAAATTAGA